ATTTAGATTCTTGATAATAATTTTGAGGATGACCCTTTTGGTCTTCTTAACTCATTACTGAGGTAGAGAGGAAAGATGAGGGGACTGAGGTGTGCATCATGTGATTTGCCTAAGATCACATAGCTTGGTATAGCAGCCCAGTATCTAGAATTCCTGCAAGTTGTTCCCAGGCCAGGAGGCTCTGGGAGGAGTCCCCAGAGCCTGTGACAGCTGACTATTCTTGCTGTAAAAGTCACTTTGGCAGATGTGTTTCATCAGGGTCCATCAGCAGTGAGGAGCTCCCATGAACTTCTTCTTGGGGTGGGTGTGGTGCTGCCAGACCCAAGGCTGCGAGGTCAAGAGGAAAAAGTTGGTCAGCTGTGCAAGAGCTGACATGATGGGACTCTGCTCAGACCCCATTCTGTCCCCAGCTGCTTCTGCTCTCTGTGGAAACCTCTACCTCATTCCCCAAAAGGAGCACTCAGTCCACAGCTCAGTTCAGCCTGTTCAAGAACCAGAGCCTCACTTCACTCCCCGTGGGGAACATAATGGTGCACATTTTAACTTACTGCTCTCTGAAAATGATTCTGGGAAACAACTTGGTCACGTTTACATGTTTACTAAGTATTGAGCTCTTGTGATGTGCTAAACCTTGCCCTAGGCACAGGCAAAATTATCATCAGCTGGTGTAAAAGCAGAAAGACTTTCAGATGGTACCATACATAAAAACTAAACTAAACACAAAGTCTCATACATCTCCATTTCTCCACTTGCCCCTTGGAAATGTTTGCCTTCAAAGCTGCCTTCATAATTCAATTTAAATTTAACCTATCTGGGGGTATCTAGTTGGCTCAGTCAGTAGAGCATGCAACACTTGATCTCAGGTTGTGAGTTCAAGCCTCATGTTGGAAATAGAGATTACTTTTTTAAAAATAACAATTACAATTTAAAAAAAAACAAAAAACTATCTGTTAAAGAGGTTTGGAAGGAAGGCGCAGTAAACATGGGACAATTTGACTTGACCATGATGGTTTGGAATCCTTTCAGAGCCTTTCCCACTTTGCCTATCCAGAAGAAAATGTTGGGTATTTGGTTACAAGCAATCAGAATGTGTAAAATTAAACACAAATTGTCAGAGCACATTACCTAGTCTTATTTTCCTTCTTGGCATAATACCAAATTTAAGGGAAAAAAGTCATTATGGTAGTTTAAATGAAAAAGGTATACTGGGTTGAATGGTTATTCAGTTTTATTGTTTCTCTTGTCCCGTTGCAGAAAGCCACACACTTTGGATCCCAAGACAATATGGTTTGACCCATTATAACTCGAACTTCTGTTTTCAGAGTTGTAGAAAGCTAATGTGATTCTCTTTAGCTTATCTTGCTCCTTGGTTTGACACCTCATACACAGGCAGAGCAAGGTTAGAGATTTGCCAGCTGCAGGACAAAAGCAAACCGACCAAGGCGGGCCTCATGCCCTCATCACCAACAGCTTTGCCTTCACCTTAATTTGTTTTGTTGCAGATTCTAGTTGCAGAGTTTTTGTTTACTCATGCTCCAATTTCCTAACCCTGTGTGGCCATTGCTAACTTCCTTCATTAAGAGTGGTTGAGCTGGGTTCCTGGTTGGGAAAGACAGAAATACAGCTAGATACAAATCCCATAGGGATCGTTCTGGGACAAACAGTTTTTGTTGGGTCTTGGAAGGAATGGAACGTTCCCCAAGAATGAGTCGTTAGGAACTATGTGTTGAGATACTTCTACCACTGAAGAACTCTGTTGAGCATATTTCCTCCACTCTTCTGGGCACGTGTTTTGGCTTACTATTATTGTGGACTTGGTACCTTCAACTTACATCTTCTCTGTCTTCACTTGTCCTTTACCGAAACCATTATCCATTTTTGGAAATGCAGAAGATGGTTGTCCATGAGTTCCTCTTCTCCTTCTTCCCCCACCACTCATGATGTTGATCTGCAAGGCTTTTATTGTTTCTTCCTTAAATTCCTATAAAAGATCAGAAGGTCCTTATGCTTTTATTATTTCTCCTTACTCACTGCCAACTTTATGAGGATGATCTTTTAAAAATGAAGAATAGCCATCATTTCATGAATGCGTACAATGAGAGACACTTTCCATCCCTTCTTACCAATCATCACAATGGGCCTATGAAGAGGGTGCTAGTCCCACTCTACACAATGACAAAATGGAGGTTTAGAGGTGTTAAACTAGGTTTCCCAGACTCTTAGGTAGGAAGTGACAGAATAGTGATTTGAATCCAGCACTGTCAGAATCCAAAATTTATAGCAAGACCAAAGTGATGTATGGACTGGATCCTGCCTATAAGAAATAAGGGTGCATATAATGTTTTTATAATTTGAATGAAGCACAAGCCAACATTTAAAAATTCAGGTATTACATTTGAAAGTCTGGATTCTACCTTCTCTTTAAAAAAAAAAATAGAAGATTGGGCCTAGTGGGCTCACATTCCTACAGGACAGCAGCCAGCCTCTCCTAGGGAAGGCCACTCCCCTTAGTGGAGGCATGTGCTCTAAGATGAGCAACTCCTGCCCAGTCCCATCTCCATCTGGTTTACCTTATCACTTTACCCACTTGGGCCACCAGACTGGTATCTGTGTATGTTTGATTTTTGCCATCCTTATTCCAGTTTCCAGGAAGAATCTGTTTTAGGACTTGAGTCCGGGCTTCCCCATCTGCTAACTTCGTGTCCTTGGACAAGTTACTTAACCCCTCAAGGTCTCAGACTTCTCACTTCTAAAGTGGGGATAAGAATAGTACCTTCCCTTTGAGGTTGTTTGGAAAATTAAATATGGTAATCCATGTAAAGTACTCTGCATGGTGTCTGACACAAAGATTTCTACAATAGTTAGATATTGTTATTAATCATTATTCCAATTAATCACTCCTTCCTCACAAAGTGGTATCCAGTAACCTTTTCCAAGGTCAGCCTGACTCGTAAATAAAGTCATCAGAACCATTAGCCATGGAAACATCACTGTGTGGAAATAGGCAATGGAGCATGTAGCTTTGACAGTAGACTGACTTGGCTCAAGTTCCATCCCGGACATTTGGGGACCTGAGATAATTATTTAAACTCATTCTGACTCAGTTTCCTCATTCATAAAATAGGCATGAAAACAGTACTTTCTTCATGAGATTGTGGTGAGAAACGAGTGAATCAATACACGTGAAGTGCTTCCAAATGGTGATGGCACCCAGTGTGTCCTCAATGGTGATACCCACTACTGAAAACAACAAAGCAGGGTGAGCACTTACTAAGCACATGTTTGCTTCTGGAGAGTGGCAGACAGAATATTTCCAATTGGATTCCATGGAAAAATTTGGGAAATTGAAAGCAAGACTCTTACCTTGACTTCCCACCCCCTCAGTTCCCTGGATTCCAGATCCTGTTCCTTCCATTTTCCTAAAATTGCGTTTTTGAAGGCTCATCATCAAGTCCCATGCAACGGCCTTAGCCTCATCTTGGAGTGGGGTAAGAATTTCAGAGGTCAGGGCTGCCTGGGTGGCTCGGTGGGTTAAGCCTCTGCCTTCAGCTCAGGTCATGGTCTCAGGGTCCTGGGATCGAGTCCCGCATTGAGCTCTCTGCTAGGCAGGGAGCCTGCTTCCTCCTCCCTCTCTCTCTCTCTCTCTCTGCTTGCCTCTCTGCCTACTTGTGATCTCTCTCTATCAAATAAATAAAATCTTAAAAAAAAAAAAAAAAGAATTTCAGAGGTCAACTAGCCTAAAACTAGCAATTCTCAGAAGAGGACATGGAGGCTGAGAGAAGTCCTGTGGCTTGCCCAAAGCTAATTTGTGACAGACCAAGAGTCATCCATCAACTTTATGGGTTGAGTAGTTGCTAGATGACAGTGGGTTTATATTGATTTTTATTTGACAAGCGAGGGGTGGGACTGGGGACCCAACACACAGCTGGTGTAAGAGCTCTGCTCTCTCCTCTTTTTCATCTTGCTCCTTCTGGCCCATGATCCTTGTTCCATGAGGCACTGGTCCAGCTGATACTGTAAGAGGACTGCTTTGTCTTTCCCAGTGGGACATAGGCCCTGTGACCCTCCATAGCTTGAAGGCCCTGTTTCCCGATGGGTAATGTTTTCCCTTCCTTGTGACTTGCCTCTCTGGGCCATGTTCCGATTTCCCTGCTGGCTCACTTGTTTCCTTGGGCTGGCTGCCTTGCTTGGTGGTTTTTAGTGAGGGCTCTGGTAGATGCCAGGAGTGAGGGGAAGAGCTCCAGAGGGGCTCAGTCATTGGACAGGCAGACTCAGTGATGGATGAGCCCTCTCCCCAGGAAGTTTTGGGTCAGAAGAAGTCCAACTGATAAGTTTTTTCCAGAACTGAGTTACCCAGAAACAGTGCCAGCAACATCTCACCTCTTCTGTGGGTTTCGTATTGATATTAAAGAAAATTATCGGTTGCACGTCTTCTTAGAAATACAGCTCCAACCATGATAAACTCAGATGCATGGGCTACGAATTGTTTTAGAGATAACATTTGAGGGGAGGGGTGGGAGGAAGGAAGAGAGGGGTCCTTAAAAAATCCCTTTCAAAATATTTTCTTTCTTCTAAGTATTGAAAAGGCACAATATAACCCTTTCTTCTTCCAAATGATCTCACAGCTATTTATTGAGGGGAAATACCAAATGTTTATTTATTTTGTTTAAAGGAGCTTCTTTCGTCCTGATGATTCACGTCGATATCATTTTCCGCCCCGCGACAGAGGCTCTGAGACAAAGCCACAGCCCAAGTGATATACCGGTGTCAGAACAATTCCTGTCCTGAAGGAGGGTATGCAACCTTCTTTATTCCCCCTTCACAGACGTCCTTGAGCCCTTGAGACGGATGTGAGCGAGTTTTTCAGTGCTCATGCAAAACAACCATCTAAACATAACAGATGACATCAGCTTGGGCTTTTCAATTCCTGGATGGCAGCGGCGTGTTAATCCAGCCTTCATCCTGGATTTCATAAACTAAAACAAGAGAGCCTGGCAAGAGGACAGCGCTGCTGCTGGGTTGAGGAAATTGATGACGGGGAAGCATGCGGGCAACCCAGTGTATAAAACTCATAAACGTGTAGGCAGAGGCTCAGCTACCACTTTGGACAGCTGCTTCCCGCCAGCAAAGACCACCCCGCCCTCGGGCAGCCGAGCCAGAGCCTTTGGGGAACATGAAGAGCCTCCTGCTGCTGGCCACGCTCCTGGTCCCTGCGCACCTGGCGGCGGCCTGGAGCACCAAGTATGCGGTGGACTGCCCTGAGCGCTGCGACAGCGCCGCGTGCAAAAGCAGCCTGCGCTGCAAGAGGACAGTGCTGGACGACTGCGGCTGCTGCCGGGTGTGCGCCGCGGGGCTGGGCGAGACCTGCTACCGCACCGTGTCGGCCATGGACGGCGTCAAGTGCGGCCCGGGGCTCAGGTGTCAGTTTTACAGTGAGGAGGATGACTTTGGTGACGAGTTCGGTATCTGCAAAGGTAAAGGGTGACCTCTCGCTTCTCCCCGCCCCCCAGGGGAGGGGGGGCACACTGAGGGCTTTCAGCCTGCCTGGGAAGTGCGGAGGCTTTGCAGCCAAGGACAAGAGGGAAAATGCAGGTGGCTTAGGGAGGAGGCCCCTCACAGGTATTGCGACGGAGAGAGGGAGCGAAGAGGAACTCTGCAAAACAGCGGCCGAACCCAGGGTGCAGCAAGGCACAGAAAGCAACAGGGCATTTCACTCCTTATGTGGAGGAGATTTAAGAAAAAACTTGCAATGAAAAATTGTGGGACCTCCCTTTCTGGAAAACTTTAGGAACTTGATGGGTAATCTGTTTGGATGGTTAAGGTTCTTTATTTTCTGCAACACAGTGATTACAGAGGTCTGCCCTAGATAACCTTTCAGGGGTGTCTAGCCCCGGGCTTAGGGATTCTTTGATCTTGAAAGGGTCCACGGGTTGGAGGGCATCTCTCAAGATCAAATATTTCTGATGAACGCTAATGCATTTTGTGAAATAGGGTGGGCTTAAGTCATCTAACAGGATGACTCACATTCTTTAAAAGAGGGTACCCTGAAGTATAAAACAAACCCCATTCCACTTTATAAGGGTGTTTGGTCATCTAGAAAAACAGCAGATAGTTTAAGACAAGTAAAAATAACAGTAAAGAAAAATAAAAATGGAAGTCTGTAAAGAATGAGAGTTTACAGACTTAAAGAAGAATGTCATTAGGTTGAAATCATAACTAAACAATGTAGTTACACAGTTACACAATTTATTTCAGACTTAGTGACTGTAGTTTAAAATGTTTAGAATCAAAAGAATGGTGGTTTTAAGATACTCTATAAACGGATACCTCATGATCTCATCATTAAAAGCCATTATCAAGATGAAACACATATGCTATAGCCCCATTCATCAGTTCTGTAATAAAAAGAAGACTTTAAAATGATTAAAGGGACTGGGAAATTTATTTCTTATATTTTCTTTCTTATTTCATTCTTATGTTTTATGTATTTAATACAGTTGTTTTCCTTCACGAATCATAGCCATTCACCATCGAGACAGTCTCATTAATTCACCTACCTTTTAGACAAATATGTTATAAATTAATTTACCTTTTAATCTACAATGTATACTGAATTTAGAAAATAAATGTTTGGACTATTAGGAGAATCTTATTTTTTTGTCCCGTTTATTTTTGTTTATAACCAACGAAAGACAGAATATTGATGAAGCATTTTTTGGTGAACATTCACAAACATTTAGGCTGACCAGGATCTGTATTTTCTGTAAATCACAGGATTTCACAGAAGGAAGTTAGGGAGGAAGCGGTTAACACAATCATACAATGATATAGCAAGTATACGCAGGGGATTGCTTTCTCTCTTGGCATAAAAATCACCTCTGTAAATTTGATTGTAAATGCAATGTCACCTCTGGGGAAAGAAACATTGCAAGGCATCTGGGATCTTTAGCAGTCGCACATTCTACTGAATGAATGAGGTAGCTGTTAATGGGATCGATTTTTTAAATGTATTTTAAAATGTTCTTTCTGGCAGCTTCAGACTGCAAGTGAGTCTAGTTTCGAACATTTTTCTCTCTGCTGGACATAGTGACCCTGCGTGAACCTCCCCAGCTCTACACAGGGATGTTGAGTTTTGCTGTGGGCAGACTCCCTCCTTCAGCTGTTTCACAGAACATTCATAGGAAAACTGTATACTTCAGCTGCACCTCCAGATGCTTTCTGAATATTCAGATGTTTGGCATTATGCTGCTGGGTTAACAGCCATCCAGCCAAACACATTTTTACTGAACACCTGCTATCCAGCCAGTGCTATTCAATACACTGGGGGTTTCAGTAGAAGCGCAACTGAGACTTTGGCTCATGTGTTAGTGTTCGATATCACCTAGAGACACAGTCAAATCCCAATCCTGTGTGCTTTTCTGCAAGAGGCTTTTTAGGATCCTTTTTAAGGACGGTTCTTCCCAACAGAGAAGCTAATGTTTAAAACTAGACTCCTCGGGGCCCCTGGATGGCTCAGTTGGTTGGGCGTCTGCCTTCAGCTCAGGTCATGATCCCAGAGTCCTGGGATCGAGCCCCACATCAGGATCCCTGCTGGGTGGGGAGTCAGCTTCTCCCTCTCCCTCCTGCTTGTGCTGTCTCTCTATCTATCAGATACATAAAATCTTTTTGAAAAAAAAAAAAAAAACAACAACAACAAACAGATTCCTCTGTAATCTGAAGAGTTACAGTGAGAAGACTTCTAAATCTCTTCTAAAAATAAATTTCATTAACATCTGCCTTGATCATTCTGTGGGATATTCGATTGGGAAGGGCTCAGCTGCTTCACTACTTATGAGAATGTTCTCATGCCCAGAGAATAAATATTCTGCATCTATTCTGCTTGGTTGTTAAAGACTGGGTCATCGGGAAGAAAAAAAAAAAAAAAGACTGGGTCATCTATAGAGATATTGCTTATGTCTTAAGACCCTGCATTTGTAATAAATGGGTTCATCGTCTTCTCAGTATCGCATGTTAAGTCTGAGTATGAACATACTGAAGTTTTAAATGCTTCCAGATTTGGGGAGGTATACAGGTAAATTCTCAGCTCTCCTGTTTTTCTTAGTATGTTGCATCTTAAATCTGCAGAAGGCTCTCCTAGTAAATCCTCTTAACATCCGGGGGAGTTGGGTAAATTGTGCTGCCATTTCAACAGAGAAAGAGTGGACTGAGGAGGGATCACTTCATGGAGAGCTGGCATGGCCGCTGGCTAGGGTGGATGGAGTCCTTTCCTATCCATCCAAAATATTACGTTGTTTGTGAAGACAGTAGATTCAAAGGCAGCATCACATCCTTTAAACTCTTTGAGAAGCTGATGCATGTGTCTGTTCCATTGCCCACTTCACTCAGCTGTCACAGGAGTCATCCAAGGAAATTATGAGAACGCACCTGTCTATTGGTATCTAAGGAAAAGGTGAACAGAATTGTCTGGTTCAAGGATGTTGGTTATGCGTAGCTGCCTTTAACTAAACTTCACGGCAGGACACGGCAGCTGAGGTGTCCGTGATCTGGTCTTAGTGTGTGATTTGTGACTTTAAGTACCAACTCCCAAAGCTTGGGTTTTTTTTTTCAAGAATTGGATTTTGCCTGACGGTCAAAATTCGTGAGGTTTGTTCAGAATCTGGAGGCCATGCGCGCAGGGGCTATGAGACAGCAGTCTTGTACCCAAAGAGTGGCTCCCTTTCTAAACCTTTCCTTTGTCCTCAGACTGCCCCTATGGCACCTTCGGGATGGAATGCCGGGAGACCTGCAACTGTCAGTCAGGCATATGTGACAGAGTGACCGGCAAGTGTCTGAAATTTCCCTTCTTCCAATATTCGGTAGCCAAGTCTTCCAACAGGAGATTTGTTTCTCACACAGGTAAGAATTAATTTCAGTATAAACACTGGAAAAATAACCTCATTTTCAGTTTGAATAACTCAAGAAATATAGATGACAAGCTTAAAGCATGGGTTTGAATGATTTTTTAAAAATTTCCCCGGGGAGAAAGGGTGGTGGTTGAGTTTGGTTGTTGTTGCTGGTTTTCTTTTTTTTTAAAGATTTCATTAATAATTTGGGGGATTATACATTTTCCCATAAAGTTTACCCTGTTTTATGAAGAATAAATATGATTGATTACCAAAACACCTGTAATAAGAAAATAACCCAGATATATAAAGTTCTTCAAATTCTTCAGTGATCTGTTTTATATTCATACTAGACAAAGCTACTTCTCTCTCAAGTTCATGTAGAAAAAAATACACTCAGGAATTTATCAGATAAGGGTTAAGAGCCAAGATAGAAATTATAGAGCATTTCTTCTTCTTTTTTTTTTAACAAAATGGGAGTATTTAAATGGAATATTTCCAAGCATGCATTTTTATGGATGTTGGAGAGGATAAGAGACAGTAACTGTGATTGAAATTTGGGAATTATCTCTAAGCCTTTGAGTGAAATTGTAGTAATAGTCACATGATGCTTGTTCATGCATGTGTATTTCGGATCCAGGTTGTTAAAATGTGAGAAATACAACATATCAGAGGGTGCTATGGACATATTTGGTTATCTTATGCAATAAATGGCCTGTATGGTAAAGCTTCATTAAATTGAAAGTAGCTCATTTAAAACAACATATAGCCATAGAAACTGCAGTATCAACAAACGATACAGTTGCCTCCCTCCTTACATACAGATAGTTGACAATCCAAGTCCGTTTTATTTAGCTTTTGTTTCTGGTGCTTTGTGCTTCAAGTTAACTAAGATTTGAAATATTTGGCAAATGTACTGATTCCCAGCTTTACCTCCTCCTTACACATGGATATAATTAAGTACTTTAAAAGAGGAAATACTGCATTTTTAAGTGAATTTTTATGTTGAAGTGTGGTTATGCCCTTAAACATCAATTTAAAAGAACCACCCCACCCCGCCTTTAAAAGCTATTAGGAAGGTATCTTTGTGAAAATTTGATCTGGAAATTAAGATTATCATTAATATTTTAAGTACTTATGACTGTCTTATAGTCCTTGAAAAGCAAAATGGAAAAAGTTTGTGTTTTAAGTCCTAAAACAAAATTTCATATTGAGGTAATATTTACATAACAGAAAATTAACCATTTTGAAGGGAACAGTTCAGTGGGAGTTAGTACATTATCAATGCTGCATAGCTGCCCCTTCAGTCCAGTTCTAGAACATTCTCACCACCTCAAAATAAAACCCCACTATCCATTAAGCAGTTGCTCCCATTCCTCATAATCCACTCCCCAGCCCCTGGTAACCATCAATCTACTTTCCAAGACCTACACATTTTTTTAATGATTTAATTAATTCAGTACAGGTTTGAAACCTATTGTCTTAGTACAGCTAGCTGTGTCAAACACTTGCATCTTCTTTTGTCTCATCTTGCTTTTTTTAAAACTGCAGGCTACAGGGGCGCCTGGGTGGCTCAGTGGGTTAAGCCACTGCCTTCGGCTCAGGTCATGATCTCAGGGTCCTGGGATCGAGTCCTGCATCAGGCTCTCTGCTCAGCAGGAGGCCTGCTTCCCCCCCCCCCCCCCCCGCCTCTGCCTGCCTCTCTGCCTACTTGTGATCTCTGTCAAATAAACAAATAAAATATTAAAAAAAAAAACTGCAGGCTACAGAGCACTTTGAAGAACACTTTTGTATTCCTCTTCATTCATTTATGGTGGCACCTAAACCTTTCCCACCGAGAGAGAATTGATTTCCTTGTGAATCTGGTGTTTAGGATGAATGTTTGGGAGGCCCGTGAGAGCAGCTTTGGAATTATCTTCAGGAAAGGAACACCTGTCCCTCCCACTGCACACCCAGCCACACATCTTCTTCTCCACTGGACTTTGGTGCAGTCTCTTTCCCTTGAGCCTGTCACCCTCTGTCATTTGCATGCACATTTGACAGATCTCTTGACTACTATATAGATGCTTTGGACACAGATATTTTGCTGGGTGGAAGTTATATTACGGGTTACACAAAAAAATATTTCTATGCCCAAATTACGTATCAAGATCCTTAATAGAAATTCATAGGAAAAACATTTTCTGACCTAAGGTGTTTGCTTTCATTAGCTAAAGGGGCAGCAAAAGATGATTACTAGTGTGATCTTGGTAAACCTTAGGTTCAGGCTGGAGAGCAGAATGTCCTAAAGTCTTCACAGAAAGGCTGCACTGGAGCTCCCCTGCTCAATGGTGCATCACCTCTGTTGGACTTGCCAGGGCGCATGTGCCACTGTTTGTAGGAGGGGGCTTGGGGGCTCAGTCTTGCAATAGACTTCATATCACCCCTACACAGATCCATTTACAAAGCCTTTGTCAGTGGTTCCAAGGTCCATCTGCACAGGGACTTCTTGGTCCCTTCCATACCCTAATTCCAGGAGCTTATCTTCTCTAGCTTTCTTCCCATTGGCTACTATATTCTTGGCAAGTGGGCTTCCTGCCTTCCTATTTCCATTTGTTGTTGTTGTTCTTGTTGTTGTGAGATTTCCAATTTTCTATGTCTGGGAATTTGCAAGGCAATTTTTTTAAGGGGAGTTGGGGACTGTAAGATCTGGAATATTTGATTACTTGGCACACATTCCTCTGCTGGGCTGCAATGACCCTACAGCATTCCATATTAAGACATGCACTGTTGAAGCAAACACACCTTGCTACTCTCAGAAGCAGACAAATTTCACTTTGGAAAATTCTAAATATTATAAACTTTTATGCAGAACAAAGCTATCTTTAGAAAAGTTCCCTCCTTTGATCTGCATCTGCTTTCTGGGGCCACACAATAAGCTAAGCCTCCTATATACCAGATAGTATGAAAATCTTACTTAGAGATCTATTGTTACATTTGCTCATTCCATAAGTATTTATTAAGCACCTACTATGTTCCAGGCACAGTAGCCGTGAATAAAGCAAAGCCCCTGCCTTCTCGGAGATGATATTCTAGTGGTGGAGTGAGATAACACATGGAAAAAAATAAAAGACAAATGCATGTATAAGATAATGTCCAGTGATGATAGGTATATGAAGAGAAATCATTCAGGGGGTGCTGATGTGAATGGGAGGTGCCAATTTACAGAGACTGGGCAGATACAGTGAGCACAGACTCTTTGAATCTATTAAGGACTTTATTGTACGTCCCTCGTAATACAAAAGTAAGATAAAACTGTTCTTCATCTTAGAGTTATAAACATCTGGACATGATTTGTATTCCTTCTAATTTCAGAGCATGACATGGCATCTGGAGACGGCAACGCTGTGAGAGAAGAACTCGTAAAAGAGAATGCCCGCTCTCCTGTAATGAAATGGTTAAATCCTCGCTGATCCTGGGTGGGATTTCTGAGAGAAGACTCTTATTCTAATGATCATTCAACACACAGCCAACATTTTAGGAACTGTCTAGATTATAGCATACGGACGTGTGATCTTGGAAGGCCAAGTGTGTGGGTCCAGGAAAAAAAAAATGTAGGCTACTAACAACCCATAAAACGCATATGACTGAACACTTTTAGATATTTGTTAAATATTTGAATGCATATAGATTTGTTAAATATGTGTTTATAGTAATACCGAAGAACTGCAAATGCAATTTAGATAATCTTAATGTGAATGCAGGTCAGCCAAAGAGGGAGCTAGCCAAAGCTGAAGACCAGAGTGAGTCCACATGTCTGTGACTCGGATGTACACTGATGTTGGGATACAGGATGGTGGGAGAGTTAGGAGTGAGAGAAGGGGGGGCAGGGTGGAAAAGTATGATAATTAGGTCTTCCTTGTGGTAACATCAATAGAGTTTAGTTGTGCTTCTTATTTACTTCGGAAAAGTCAACACAAAACAATCCCTGAAGGAAGTGGGATGTTTGAATCTTGTGGGAGGTTGAGGAGCAGCCTTGAGTAGAGGCAGATTTCAAAGGGCTGCTACTTGTCATGCCCAGCTTACCTTATCTGAAGGATGATTCTGAGGCAGAGGGCAAATGTACACTCTCATGAATGGTTTTAAAGAATGTCACCCCAGACTGAGAGAGCTAGGAAGTATTTTGCCCACTTGGAGGAGGTGTGAAGACAAATATTTATATAATTTTGTAAACAATTATGTTAGTCTGAGTCACCCTCCACACCCATCCTTAATCACCTTGAGAAAATGAACGAAATACTATTTGTTAAAATGGGTAAAAGTGTCCAAACACCCGAGGTATGGTAAATTTATTATTAATAATTATAGCAATATTAATAGTAATAAGCATAAGAGAAACCTAGAAAAAATTAGTCATTATGGATTTATAAAATCTCAGAAAATGAGCAACAGAAGAAATTTATTTAAAAGTGTAGTGACTTAGATGAGTTTCAGATTTAAAGTAGAAAATACTATTTTAGGAGGTTTGGAAAAGAGTCAGTTTTCAGTAGGAAATGTCAACTTTAAAATATTGTTCATTTTCTTATTTTTCTTTCCTTTAAAGTTGGTTGATAAGTGGAACTATGAGTACACTTGGGAGGACATTAGCACAAATAGGACTGTTGTACTAGGTTTTGTTAGGAAATATTTGCAGAAGTATTTTATTTGGAGTGAAGATTATTTAAGAATTATTTCACTATTTACCTATATTTTATTCTCAGAGTTTGCCAACAGAGTTGTGAATGTGTGTGTGGGAGGGTCTTTGAATGTAAGCTGAATAAGCTGTTAGGATATGTTTTAAAAGGCAAAGTTTATGATTGTTCAATAAAAAATAAGACAGCTGCTTCGAGTCCATTCATGACTTTGTTAAATCATTAAATTATTTAAAAGATTCATCCAATGAATCGGAACTCTTGTATGCATATTAAAGGGAGGCTTCTGAACTGACTTTGCTGCTACAGATGAGCATTTTCTGTCAAAACTTGAGGCTATTTTTTCGTTGCCTCACATTTTTGGTCTTCTCGTGCCTTACAGCCTCTTGAAAAGCAGGTCCTCACATAATATCTCATCCTATAGAGGCAAAAACAAAAGAAATCTTCCGTTAGTGTCTGAAGGTGCTTACTCTTTAGAAGACGTAGGCAAAGACGAACATTTCAGTGCGTGTATAAAAGAATAGAGCAGGGAGCCTGGGTGGCTCAGTCGGTTAAGCACCTGACTTCGGTTCAGGTCACAATCTTGGAGTCTGCTTATCCCTCCAATCCTTCCCCCTCTGGTGCTCTCTCTCTCTCTCTCTCTCTCAAATAAATAAATAAAATCTTAGGGGAAAAAAAAGAATAGAGTAGCCTTTAGCTTTGTAGCTTGAGAGTATCGTATCCAGCAACAGGATAGGTTCATTCAGCCTTGTGATGGGCAAATTAGGAAAACATTTAAATGAATCAACACAACGCTAAAAAACATTGTCTATACTAGCAAAAACATCAATTTGCCTGAGTTAATCTTTTTCCTTTTTTTAAGATGGAAGAAACTGGATGTGAATGAGATAAAAAGTTATATCAACATAAGATACTCAAATTATTATTAAATTAGAGCAATGATTTAATCAAATCAAATCAAATTAAATTAATCACTTTAAATTAATTAAGTTAATCAAATCATTTAAATTGATTGAAGTAATTAAAAATTACTTTACCAGTGTGCAGTGAGGTTCAGGACATGCTATCGGAGAGTGAGGTTACTTAAAGATCCCCGACTTGGCCTGAAGCACAGATCACAGCCCAAATATCCCTTGGGGAAGGGTGGATTGTGGAACAAAGGGGACCATGCCAGGACTTGCCTCTTCTACACTCTGCAATAGGAGAGACCATGGGCAATACAATGGAAAAAGGTGGGCTCATCTGCTCTCAAGTTCAGGTATGTTTTCTAGCTATCCAGCTTCCTGGTACCGGGACCTCTTTGTGCCTTTCACTCCAAACACTAGTCCCTGTCCATCCCACATTGCTCTTTTGCCTTCTGACTCTATTCTTCAGAGCAGCTAGTGGAAAATCTTTGGATTTTGCACTTTTTGATTGCAATATTTTTGAGCATGCTATTTTAAACTATATGCATATCATAGGATTAATGCACTGTGTTTGTTATGAAATATATACTCAAAGTGGAAATTTTTAAGAGATAAAAAATAAATATGAAGGGGAGTTCTGAGATGTTTTTTCCTGCACCATTATGGACATCCCAGGAAACACTGAAGAAGTAAGAGAAAATGCCCTATGTCACGTGGTCTCCAGTGAGACTTGACCTCATTTGATATTGAAGAGAAACCAAGGTGGCACATATTCCACACAATAAATATTTCTGGAATGAATGGATTAAAAGATGGATGATGGATGGATGGATGGAAAGATGGATGGATGGATGGATGAAAGTGTGGTTTGGTAGAGAGATGGATAGAAGGATGTTTGGGAAGAAAGATGGGTGAGTGAGTGGATGTCTGGAGGAATGAATGAAGAAAGGAATGAATGAATGAATGAATGAATGAAGCAGGTGACAGGCCTATCTCCAGCAGAGCAGGTGGAGCAGATGGCCTCCCATCCCTTTCACCTGCCAGCTACCATCTCCCCAATGGCTATTATCCTGCCTATTGGGACCTGAGGAGATTGAAAAACATGGGGACATATGTGACAGTCAGTGTATCTGACAAATACAGTTGCCCAGGGCAACAGAAACAGGGAGTGCTTCTCCATCAGGCAATGGGGACATTACCTGTGGTAACAAAAAGTGTAAGGTAATTTTAGTGGTAGTCAGATTGAGTTGTCATTTTCTGTGAAAGGCAACTGGGGAGGACTGTTGTTTCCATCTCATATTTTATTATTTTCCTTTATCCTGAGGTCCCTCAGAGTAAAGGATCAGTAGATATAATTCAACATCACATAGATATTTGGAAGGAAAATCAATTACTTCTGATCATCTATAGTTGGTGTTAATCGTTGAACGAAGCCCTGGCTTTAAAAGGGTACATGTCACAGAACAGCAATTCTCTAAGTTTATTATGCATTAGAATTTTCTGGAGGCCTTGTTAAAATACAAATTGCTGATTTGGTATGTCTGAGATGAGGTCCAAGGATTTTCCATTTTAACAAGTTCCCTGGTGATGCAGATGCTGCTGGTTCAGGGGCTGCACTTGGAGGATCACTGGTAAGGGGAGCTCTAGACTTGCCTAGAAAGGAGATAAACTAAGGAGTGATCAAAACCAGGCATTGCCCAATTTTCCCAACACCATTTATTGAAGAGGCTGTCTTTTTTCCATTGGACATTCTTTCCTGCTTTGTGGAAGATTAGTTGACCATAGAGTTGAGGGTCTATTTCTGGGCTCTCTATTCTGTTCCATTAATCTATGTGTCTGTTTTTGTGCCAGTACCATGCTGTCTTGATGATGACAGCTTTGTAATAGAGCTTGAAGTCCGGAATTGTGATGCCACCAACTTTGGCTTTCTTTTTCAATATTCCTTTGGCTATTTGAGGTCTTTTCTGGTTCCATATAAATTTTAGGATTATTTGTTCCGTTTCTTTGAAAAAAATGGATGGTACTTTGATAGGAATTGCATTAAATGTGTAGATAGCTTTAGGTAGCATAGACATTTTCACAATATTTATTCTTCCAATCCAGGAGCATGGAACATTTTTCCATTTCTTTGTTTCTTCTTCAATTTCTTTCATGAGTACTTTATAGTTTTCTGTGTATAGATTCTTAGTCTCTTTGGTTAGGTTTATTCCTAGGTATCTTATAGTTTTGGGTGCAATTAAAACCACAATGAGATATCACCTCACACCAGTCAGAATGGCTAAAATTAACAAGTCAGGAAATGACAGATGCTGGCGAGGATGCGGAGAAAGGGGAACCCTCCTACACTGTTGGTGGGAATGCAAGCTGGTGCAACCACTCTGGAAAACAGCATGGAGGTTCCTTAAAATGTTGAAAATAGAACTACCCTATGACCCAACAATTGCACTGCTGGGTATTTACCCTAAAGATACAAACGTAGTGATCCGAATGGGCACGTGCACCTGAATGTTTATAGCAGCAATGTCTACAATAGCCAAACTATGGAAAGAACCTAGATGTCCATAACAGACGAATGGATAAAGAAGATGTGGTATATATACACAATGGAATACTATGCAGCCATCAAAAGAAATGAAATCTTGCCATTTGCGACGACGTGGATGGAACTAGAGGGTATCATGCTTAGCGAAATAAGTCAATCGGAGAAAGACAGCTATCATATGATCTCCCTGATACGAGGGAGAGGAGATGCAACATGGGGGGTTAAGGGGGTAGGAGAAGAGTAAATGAAACAAGATGGGATTGGGAGGGAGACAAACCATAAGTGACTCTTAATCTCACAAAACAAACTGAGGGTTGATGGGGGGAGGGGGGTTGGGAGAGGGGGGGTGGGGTTATGGACATTGGGGAGGGTATGTGCTATGGTGAGTGCTGTGAAGTGTGTAAACCTGGCGATTCACAGACCTGTACCCTTGGGGATAAAAATATATTATATGTTTATAAAAAATAAAATTAAAAACAAAACAAAACAAAACAGGCATTGCCGACCTTGTGAAAAGAATGCATTGCTTCCTAACCAGTTGATATTTCCTAACCAGTTGATTCATTCAACTTATTTTTGTTGTTTAAAGATATTTCACTATTTAAGCAACTGTCAGGGTTGAAAAATGTCAGAGAAACTTTAAACCATGGGGATTTGTCAGGGACAAATAGAAAACCATCAAAGGAGGCTGGAGGTGGAATTAGGAAACGGTCAAGGGGTGTGTGGTCTCATTGGAAGAAAGACATTCCAGAAGAGTCACTGGGGGTGCTATGTGTCATGAAGAGATCAGGCAGATCTAAAGAGTCCTCAGGAGGTCCCCAGTGACCATAAGAGAGCTGTGTCCATGGAGAGGTCAGCGTGGAAGCCTGAATGAAGTGTAC